TGGTCCCAGCCAGAATTAAGACTGGCCTTCCCATATTAATTAATTAATCGGAATAATCCCCCAGAGGGACACCTATAGGCTGCTCTTCCAAGTGATTTTAAATTTTGCTAATGCAATAATTAACACTTAACCATTACTAGTGCTTTTTGTACAACATATGTATTTTTCTCTTAGTCCAGCAAATAACGTTGCAACTGTGAATATTATGATTCTCTGCTTCTACTTTATAATACCTAACACAAAGGAGCATGAGTTTTTAGGGTCTTAGGAAACAAAGTGGTCATGAGTTAATCATTCCAAAGTAAAACAGATAGAATGTTGGCTTTAGAGAGGTTGGAAATGATACATTATGCTGATGAGGAAAAGAAAATCATCTCCTTCAGAGTTATGTTAAGTATCTCTTTCTGTAGAGCTTCTTAATCAGGGAGGCTGGATTTTAAAACCAGAATAAAAGACCCCCACACTTCCACTCCTACCCACAGACTCACACCCCCACACTCCCACTCTGAAAACCACACTCTCACTCCCAACCTTTAGCCAATAAGCCAGGAGAAGCTTGAGGTTTGTGGTCTGATATAACCATTATCTCCTCAGTGAAAGAAAGATTGGAATTAATGCGTTTGCTCTGGGTATTTTTATCGGATGATGAGGTAATCGCTAAAGATAATAGATAAAGGTTAAAATAATATGAAAGTCTAAACTTCCAAAAGCACCAGCCTTAATAGTCTCCACTGGCAATGTTCCCAGTGATATTTCTACAGGCCAGCTGTGCCAGAACAGGCATGCAGAATTATCCTTTCCTCTTCAGTAATGTAGTAAAACATTGTACTCATGGATTTCCCAAATAGTATTGCCTCTGCATACTCAGTTAAGGGAATTTTATTTTCTCTCTTGAGAAACGACACTACCTCAGACACAGAGAAAACTTCTGTTTTCAAGGGTTCTATTGCTTTAGATACCCTTGATATGTGACCAAGAGTCATCTAATTAATTAAATATAAATAGTTGTGAGTTATATAGGTGGATTTCCATAGCTTCTCATCTGTATAATAGGTTTAGAGTAGTACAAATCATGGGTAAGTAGTTAAGAGCTGCACCTCCCTCATGGGAGATGGCTGCTGCAGGATGCATCCCAACACTGAGAGATTGCCGACATCTAGCAGCTCACATGAGAAACCCTGGCTTCCATGTCTACTGGGCTCAGCAAATGAGCACCTGCAAGAATCTGTCAGCAGCTCCCAGATGGATGTGGGTGATTTCACTGCTGGTTTTGTCATTCCAGAGCTTTGGAGGACCACTGAAATTTCACCTCCCCAAGAAGTAGTTAGCATGAGCAAAGCTTGTGTTTTAATGCTGCCCTCTTGTGGCCGCTACCAATATCATCTAGGATAACTGCCTTCTTTGTGAGTGCCAAGTGGGCAGAAGGACCCATTTTCTTTCCCTTCAGGCCTGGACTAAGCCAACAATTGGGTGACTCATAGTAAATATAGGATATCAATAGGAAAAATACCCCTTCATAAGCTAAACTGCATCTCTAGGGCATAAAGTCATCACCAAATAGCAGAATATTACAAAACCTATCCGGTAATCAAAACATGACAGAGCTTTGATAGTCGTGTTCCTAGAAACCACTATGCCTTATGGTGACAACTGATATATTTGCAAAGCTAGATAACACCGGAAACAAATGGAATAGACAACAGGAAGATATTTGGTGTATAATTTCATTCTTACGAATGAAAGATGTTCAAGTCAGTCTTATCTCTAACATATCCAAAAGGTAATATGACTGGAAAAATACAAATGCCTCTTCAACTAGGCATGTTTTCTGCTTTCTGTGTGTCTGATATCGTGCAATTTCAAATTCTGTAAATGCGATATACAGGTTTTTTTATGACAAATACACCCATGTGTGGCTCACAGTTTGATTTATATAAACTTATTTTGAATGCAGAGGCAGACTTCCTCCCGAACAGATGAAAATATCTGCCTGGAGTGATAAATGCATGTATGTAGGAAGATAGAGTTGTAAGAAGGGATTTTTTTTTTTATGAGAAAGGTTTGTAATATTATTTTAAATTTTTCCTTTAAAAGATCTTCAAGAAGACTTGATTTTATTTTGATGGTTTTTTTGTTTGTTTTTGTTTTTTGTTTTGTGTGTGTGTGTGTGTGTGTGTGTGTGTGTGTGCGTGTGTGTGTGTATCAGTTTGGATGTTTACCTAATCTGAGAAGGAGTCTTTTCTGTCAAAACACTTTCCTGTGTTACCATGTTGATTATGTGGGATTGCTAAGTAGAAGATATCGATACAGCATAAAGGCTTTACATCAGCAGTTTTAAACTTGTGGGTCATGACCCCCTGCGTGGTCAAAAAAACCCCTTTCACAAGAGTTTCACATATCAGGCATTTACATGACTATTCATAAGAATAACAAGATTACAGTTATGAAGTAGCAATGAAATAATTTTATGGTTATGGGACACAATAGCATGAGAGATGTTATTAAAGGGCCGCAGCATTAGGAAAGCTGAGAGCCGCTGTTTTACATGTTCATGACTTTACTACTGAAGCAACTAGACCAACAGACCACTAATGCAGACCAATACAGTTAGCCAGTGGATGAAGATGAGACCAGGCAATCACATTCACCCGTAGTCTGCGGATGCATTCTTGGCCACATTCCTCACTACTGTGTGATGCTCAGCTTCTCTGCAATTTGAGCTTAACTTTATAGCTTAGTGATGTAAACTGTGGCCTTTTCTCTTCTCCTCCTAATTAGTTTTATACATACACACACACAGGCAGAGAGGAGGAATGAGAGAAGAAATTTTATATTCTTTCTATATTTTGATTAATATATTTTTGATATGCATGTTGATTATGACACAACATTTTAATCATGCTTAAAATTTGCTAAGACTTTTGTTAGTATCTTATCTTGCTTATCTTATTATCTTATTTTATGTTTACATCTTATTAGCTTAATGTTTAGTAGGTCTGCCCTAACCATATGTTCCATTAGACATATTACTTTTATGCTTTAACTTTGTAGACCATACTAATTAGCAAAATATTACAATATACAATATTTTAATTATAAATAGTTAGACTTGCACTCTGTTTGCTAGTAGCATTTATCACTCTCAGGTCACCCTTTGTATGGTGGATTATTATGCATCCAGGTATACACATTGAGATGTCAGCATCCTTAGTGATTCCTTTGTTTTCTTTCTTCCCATGTGATACCAGCCTAGTGAGTACATTATAGCACCCTGTCACACAGTAACCTTCTCAGTTCTATTTGTAGCTAGGCAGTTGCGGAAATTGTTTTTACCACAGAAGCCCTTAATAAGAACTAACTTATTTCTACTAAAGCTCCATTTGAATTTTTGAAATTACTGGTTATAGCTAGGCCTTGTGGTGTAGACCTATCACTGCCACTTTGGGGGAGAGTGAGGCAGTAGGGTTATAAGTTCAAGGTAGGCCAGCCTTCGAGTCACTGCAAAGCCAGTCTGGGCAACTTACCTTATGTCAAAGTTAAAAACATTACAAGAGATCTATAGACACTGCGCTGTGGCAGAGAGTTGCCTAGCATGCATGAAGTCCAGGTTCAATTCAGTCCTTGGTTAAAAAAAAAACAACTGCTAGCTGTTATTTGAGGATGTTTAAGAAATGGGCCAGTTGGAGAGGTGGCTCAGAAGTCAAGAACATTTTCTGCGCCTGCAGAAAACTAAGGTTTGGTTCCCAGCACTCCATGGAGATTCATAGCCATCTTTAAATCCGGTTCCAGGGAATCTGACACTCTCCTCTGGACTCTGTGGACACTGAATGTATGTCGTGCATGTACATACTACATATAAACACATACATATAAAAAATAAATTGTTTTAAAAATAAGTGGATATGCACCTCACCCGTGTGTATATATATTCACTCTAAGTCTTCATTTAAGTCGTTTGGATTTAAATATTGTCTTCACTGTGATATGAAAGCCTTGATTCATGATGTTAAATTGCAAAGAGTCAGAGATTTTAAATAAGGTACAAATTACAAAAGAAAATGAATCCATCTGGTCATTTAATAATTCTTCCTTGCACAGTAACTAAATAAACTCAGAAGAAAACATACTTTTTTTTTTCAGAAAGGCTTCATTTATTTATTTGTTTGTTTAGTCATTCATTCATTCATTTGGATGAGACTAAAGATGATGTGTTTTGTTTCAGAGAAACAGTAATTATTTGATATTATTAATATGTCAGCACAATGTAATGTATCAATGTGAGTAGACTCTTCAGAGCAATAAAAGCGAGTGTATAACATGGTTTTCCAAATTTCTGCAACAAATGCAAGTGATTTCTTCTAAATTGGACAAGCATTGTGTTGGGTACTGGTAACTGCCTTTTAAGGAGAAACTCACAGAAGGCAGTAATATAAGAATTAACTAATGGATACAAAGAGAGACAGGGACAGAGGCAGAGAGAGAGAGAGACAGAGGTGGGAAGCGAGGGAGGGAGGAAGGGAAGGAGAACAAGAGAATTCTATGTTGTGGAACAGAAGCAGAAACTATCAGAGAAAGGGACCACTTTAGCATACATAATCAGGAAACTTGCCACATTTGGTTTTTTTGTTTGTTTGTTTTGTTTTGTTGTTTCTTTCCCTGTTGATTCTCTTACATTTTAAATTTTTGTCCACTTGAAGGTGAAACAAATTTTTTAAGAGAAGCCTCCACAGGAGGGTAAAAATGTTTGATATCTTGATCTTCATGGTCGAGGATACAAAATCCATCAGGTTTCATCCATATAACAGTTGCACTTTATCACATATAAATCATGGATTAAATTTTAATAACCCATCCAAACATGTAGTGCTGCATGCTTTCCATCAGAAAAAATTTAGCTTCCTGTCTCTGATGATCTATAGTAAGTAAATATCACAGAAAGAAACAGGCTAAGTTGCTTCTTCCTTCCATAATAATTTGTTATTTTTGTATATTTTCTCTAGCTGAGAGTCCAGATTTCTCAAGAACACTCTTGAAAAGAATGACGCTTGTCAAGGTGGGAGGTGAAGTTGTCATCGAATGTAAGCCAAAAGCATCTCCAAGACCTGTCTACACCTGGAGAAAGGGACGAGAAATATTAAGAGAAAATGAAAGGTACTGTGTTGAAATATTTTTAAATATTTGATTACCTGTAACAAATTGTCTTTCTGTTATACTTGAGCAAATAGACAAGGATGGAAGCTATATAAGACAGGTAGGAACATTGACCTCCATGCTCCTTCTTAATATCAGGGATCCAGAATGCCCTCCAAGCAAAGAGAATTGCATGAACCGTGTGAGGGCTCAAAAAGCTGCCTGTGGATAAAAAGATGAAAATATACTTTAACCTAAAATTTGTCTTTGTGCTTCCACCCATTATAAACCCTTGACTTAGTCAAATCAATCTGGTTCCAGATACCGTGACAACTCTTCAACCATTTGGCAAAATCTGTTTTGTTTCCTGGTGTCATATAGGTAGCTTATGGCCAATGGTTCGGCTTGATTGTTCATTATTTCATTTGTATCTCTTTAAAGTACCAGATTTGTACTAATATCTGAATTACCTGCCTCTGCTTCCTTTTATACATGAATTACATTTAGAAAGCATATTGTTTAAAGATGTAAATTTGTATGGGTTACTTGGAGTTTGACATCAGATAGTACCAAGTGGCACATTATCTCCAAGACCTTGTCTTAGCTGTCACCCCCAGAAAATATCCTCCACCACTTTCTGTAATGTATTCGATCTGTTTGAAAGGGGTAATTATGCATGAACCTGTGTTTGTCGCTCATAAGACAGGATTTACCAGCTGTATACATAATGATTTTAATTGATGTTAAAGGGCAAGTCTTCATAGACCCAATAAGGAAGCATCTAAAATGTGTGTATCTACCCTTTTACACCTGCACACCTACACATTTGCATATACAAATTAGATCACTGTGCTGATTACGTCCTTTTTAATAATTTTTATAAACAAACTTGATATGGTTTCTAAGTGACCTATATCCACACGCGTATTAACTTCATAACAGACATTTTTTTTCTAATTCCTCCTATATCATAGTCCACTGAATACTGGAATGACATTCTAATTTTAAGGTGAATCTGGAAATTGAAAGCAATTTTTTTTAATTTTTATCATTTATTAATCATGCACAATTTATTTTATTATGACATTTTGTGCATGCATATAATTTATTTTAATCATATTCAACCCCTTGCCCTCTCTTGTCCTCATCTTCTGCTGCAGGTTCCCTTTCTCTCGCCCACGTAATTCTCCTTCTAATTTCATGCCTTGAATTTTGCTGTTCGGTGACTCAGTGATTTCAGTTAGAGTTCCTTATAGGAGCATGGACAACCAACTACCAGTGACTACACCACTGAAGAAAATTTCTCTTTGTCCCCCAGCAACAGTTAACAGTCTATAAATACCAAAGGAATAGGGCCTCATGACTCCACCCCTTTCTATAATAAAATGTCAACAGGCACAAGTGTGGTGCAGGCTTTGTGCAAGCGAGTACAACCACTGCATTTGAAGAGTGCAGCAACTGTATCTTACCCAGAAGACAGATTTCTATAATATTCTGCTCTTTGGATCTTTCTTTCCCCTCTTCCTTTATGTTTTCTGAACTTTAGAAAAGATGATATAGATGAACCAGTGATTTCTGGGCGTCCACCAGGAACTTGATCTCAGGCACTTACATCACTATGAACCCAACAGATACTACCACCTCTGGCAAAAAGAAGCTTCTCTTACCAACTGTGGCAGTACTGCTAGTCTGTGGGCAAAAGACAAATATTGGAAGGTTCTGGGACAGGCGTATCATGTCCATTCAATAACATAACTGTTGTAGAAAGCAGGATTTCTTACTAAAATACAAGGAACATTGCATTCTACCTCAGTGTTTCTCAAAATGCGGTGTGTGAAATTACATTTAATAGCTACAGATTTTTAAAATAAAATTGAATTAGAATGTATCACATGCATCGCTTACAATAAGGCTGTATTTTTATTAAATTTTTATTTTTTATATTATGTACAGTTTATTCACTTTGTATACCAGCTGTAGCCCTCCTCCCTCATTCCCTCCCAATCTTACCCTCCCTCCCTCAGCTCCTCCCATGCCACTCTCCAAATCCACTGATGGAGAGATGCTCATCCCCTTCCATCTGACCCTAGCTTATCAGGTCTCATCAGGACTGGCTGCCTTGTCTTCCTCACTGGCCTGGCAAGGCTGCTCCAGGAGGGAGGTGATCAAAGAGCCAGCCACTGAGTTCATCTCAGAGACAGTCCCTGTTCCTCTTACTAGGTCACCCACTTGGACACTGAGCTGCCATGGGCTACATCTGTGCAGGGGTTCTAGGTTATCTCCATGCATGTTCCTAGGTTGGAGTATCAGTCTCAGAAGAGACCCCTGTCTCCATGCATGTTCCTAGGTTGGAGTATCAGTCTCAGAAGAGACCCCTGTGCCCAGACTTTTTGGATCTTTTGTTCTGCTTGTAGAGTTCCTGTCCTCTCCAGGTCTTACTATCTCCCCCTTCCTTCATAAGATTCCCTGCATTCTGCCCAAAGTTTGGGTATGAGTCTCATCATTTGCTTTGATACACTGATGGGTAGAGTCTTTCAGAGGCCCTCTGTGGTAGGCTCCTGTCCTGTTTCCTGTTTTTTCCTTCTTCTGATGTCCATCTCTTTTGTCTTTCTGAGTGAAGATTGGTCATCTTACCCAGGGTCCTACTTCTTACTTAGCTTCTTTAGGTGTACAGATTTTAGTATGTTTATCCTATACTATATGTCTAATATCCACCTATAAGTGTGTATATACCATGTGTGTCTTCCTGCTTCTGGTTTACCTCACTCAGGATGATCTTTTCTAGATCCCACTATTTGCCTGTACATTTCATGATATCCTTGTTTTTAATTGCTGAGCAGTATTCCTTTGTGCAAATGTACCACAATTTCTGTATCCATTCCTCCATTGAGGGACATCTGGGTTGTTTCCAGGTTCTGGATATTATGAATAAAGCTGCTACAAACATGGTTGAGCAAATGTCCTTGTGTACTTGAGCATATTTTGAATATATGTCTAGGAGTGCTATAGCTGGATCTTGAGAAGCATTATTCCTAATTGTCTGAGAAAATGCCAGATTAATTTCAAAGTGTTTGTACAAGTTTACATTCCCACCAGCAATGGAGGAAGGTTCCTCTTTCTCTATATCCTCTCCAGCATGTATTGCCACTTGAGTTTTTGTTCTTAGCCATTCTGATGGGTAAGATGAAATCTCAGGGTCATTTTGATTTACATCTCCCTGATGACTAAGGACATTGAACATTTCTTTAAGTGTTTCTCTGCCATTCGATATTCCTCTACAGAGAATTCTCTGTTTATCTCTGTACCTCATTTTTTAATTGGATTACTTAATTTATTGTTTTTTAACTTCTTTAGTTCTTTATATATTCTGGATATTAGCCCTCTGTCAGATATAAGGTTGGTGAAGATCCTTTCCCAGTCTATAAACTGTCATTTTGTTTTAACAACAGTGCCCTTTGCTTTACAGAAGCTTTTCAGTTTCTTGAAGTCCCATTTATTGATTGTTGATCTTAGTGCTTATGCTGTTGGTGTTCTGTTCAAGAACTTGTCTCATGTGCCATTGAGTTCCAGGCTCCTCCCCACTTTTTCTTCTAACTGATTTAGTATGTCTGGTTATATGTTGAGGTCTTTGATCAATTTGGACTTTAGTTTTGTGCAGGTTGATAAGTATGGATCTATTTGCATTTTTCTACATGTAGACATCCAGTTAGACCAGCAACATTTGTTGAAGATGCTGTCTTTTTTCCATTATATGGTTTTGGCTTCTTTGTCAAAAATCAAGTATCCGTAGGTATGTGGGTTTATTTCCTGGTCTTTGATTCCATTGATCTATTGTTCTGTTTCTATGATGAGGCTGCGTTTTTAAGGTTTAAATTTTAAGATGATTTAAGGACATAACATTAAGAAAATGATGTGGGGACTAAAGAAGGGTCTTGCAGAGCCAGAATTCCACTCTCAGCATTCATGTCCAGTGACTCACAACTTTTTTAACTCTAGCTTCATGGGATCCAATGCCCTTTTCTGGCCTCCATACCCCCCCCACACACACACGTAGCACACACAGAGACAGAAAATAAAATCTACCTAAATGAAGTACTTTATAAAAATGATATGGATTCAAAGACACATCAAAAACCACAAATGAATGAATTTTGAGAAATTATTGAGGACAAATCTAGAGAGTAAATTATGCTAGTAGAAGAAGCCATGGAAATCTGAAACAGGAAAAGCAATTTTCACTCACACTGCACACCTAGCAAGGGTCTGTGGTGGCTCTGCTTCCCTACAAGTACCTCCTCAGAAGACCAGCGCTCTCTCAAGCTTTGCCACTGCATAATAAAAAGTGTCAAACACCTGATCTCTTAGTGTTTTAGTCTGGAAATGGAGCGACTTCGTGTTTACTGGTACTACGTTAGCCAAAACGAAACAAGTGCCTTCCTAAAGAAAAATGTAATCGTGCTTATCTACCTGGAAGAAAGGGACAACCTAGCTATGCACAACTATTTATACATGACATCTCAATATTTTGGACTGTGTTAAAGGTACCTTAGTATAGCTAAAGATTAATCATTTCCACATAACTGATTTAATTTTATCTTGGAAGACAGTATATTATTGGACTGGCTTCTGTAGGACAAATAAATTTGATTTATTTTTTTTTCCACCACTTACTATAGATTTTTTTTCTGTTCAAGTTGTATTGATTTTATTAAAAGACATCAAGCATGCTTCCACATTCCTTTGGCACAGAAAGTATGTCTAAGCTGCAGACACTCCCTGCTGTTACTTAGTTTCTACTATTTATCACCTCCACCTCCAGTGTCACCAGGCTGGTCCCAAAGCATCAATATTAGCACTTCATCTCTGTATGGGTGCTGTGTTCTCAAGGCTCTGCCACACTCTTTCCACTCTTATCAGGTGGAATGGATTTGGTCATGTAGATTCACTCAACCCAGGCAAAGTAGAATATAAAAAGGAAATTCAGGACATGCCTGCCCCAAAGCCACATAGAGAAGCAGGTC